AACTGGTATCACAAGACTTTGAGTATCCTTCTAGAAATAGTATAGGCACATCCGTATAGCTGTCATTTTAAAAATTCACAAACGGGAATGGGATATATGTGTGAGTGTATGTACACATACATATATATACACACATATTCTTGCTCTGCCACCTGCTTTACCATAATTATAGATTTTGGAGAACTTGACACATCAGCACAAATAGATCTACTTCACTCTTTGTAATGGCAACAAAGTATTGTACTTTTTTTTTAACCATCTCCAGTTGAGGGATGTTTGTTTTCAGGCTCTTGCTATTACAACAATAAATATCCTTGTACACATACTTTTGTATACTTGGTTGAGTACATCCATAGGATAAATTCATAGTGGTGAAATTTCTGGGTCAAAGATATTACATTTTAAGATTTAATATTGTCAAACTAATTTATTCCCATTACTGGTACAGGAGGGCTTGTACACATTTGAGAAGACTGGGTATTATTAAACCTTAAAAAAAAAGCAAAAAATCCCAAAAACCATTTCCTCAACTTATTCTACGTGACCAGCAAAACTTTAACACAAAAGCCTGACAAAGACAGGATGAGAAAGGAAAATTACAGGCCAGTATTACCAGAAACATATATCTAAAACTCCTAAACAAAATATTAGCAAATGGAATCCAATAGTGTAGAAACGGAAAAATAAATTATGACCAAATTGGTTATTAATGTTATTCACCACATTAACAGATTAAATCATGTGAATAGATGTTACCATATGAATAGATGTAGAAAAAACATTTGATAAAATGATTTAACATCAGTCCCTGATTAACAACAGAAACACTTTGAAAACTGAGAATAGAGGAGAACTTTAATCTCAAAAAGAATATTTACTTAATATCTATAGCTCGACTATGCTCAAGGTGAATTCCCTTTAAAATCAAAACTGAAACAAGATTTGTGGCTATCACCATGGTACTGGAGCTCCTACCCAGTAAGGTAGGACAAAAAAAGAAATAAAAGTTTTAATTACTTGAATGGAAGAACAAAATTTATTCACAATTAGTAGAATTGCTTATATAGAAAGCACAAAAGAATCCTCAGATAACTTCTTGAAATAAGAAAGACAGCTTGACAAATTTGTTGAATCAATACTCAAAAATAAATGACATTTCTACACACTAGCAACAAAGTTATTAACTATAATAAAAACAAATATAAAGGACTTAGGAACAAATGTAATGAATGATTTGCAAGACTTCTACTGAGAAAAGCGTAAAACTGGATTGGAAGATATTAAAGATGCAAGTAAAGTTTAACAAAACCATGTTCATGGATTAGAGCTCTCAGGGTCATAATGATTTCAATTTTTCCCAAGTGGTTCTATAAATTTAATACAGGTCCAATAAGAACTTCAACAGATTTTTTCATGAAACTTGACAATTGTTTCTAAAATGCATATGAAAAACAAAGAGTCAAGAATAGGCTCTGCATTGCTGGAGAAAATCAAGGTAGCAAACTTGCCCTATCAGATATTAAGACAGTTTTAGTGTGGTTATGGCCCGAGGGATAGACCCAATAGAACTAAACAGAAAGCGCAGAGATGGACCTTTCACATACGGAAACTTGATCCTTGCAGACATATACTGTAGCTCAGTGGGGACAGAAAAACAAAACAGAATAAATGGTTATCCCTACCTCACACCAGACCAAGGAATACACTCCAAGGGACCAAGGAATAAACTCCAAGGGATTTTAATGTAAAATACAAAACTTTAAAATGATTGGAAGGAACCATAGAATGATGTCTCTTCAACCTTGGCATAGGAAAGATTTCTGAAACAAGATAAAAAAGGCCCTAATCATAAAGAAAGATGAATAAATTTGACTACATTAAAATCAATAACTTGTTTATCAAAGAGACCACAAAGAAAGGGTCTCTTTGTAATCAGCTATTTGCTGTCCATCAATGACAAAATATAAATTTATATAAGTATATAAAGAACTCCTACAGATTAAGAAGAAAACAAAATACCCAATAGAAAAATAGACCAAAGAATGCAAATAGGTATTTTATAGAAAAGGAAATTTGAGGGTCCAATAGACATATGAAACTTGCCCTACTTTCCCAGTAATCAAGGAGATAAAATTAAAACTATAATGAAATACTATTTTACTCTGAATTGGCAAAAAAACCCTAAGATTGTTAACGCTAAGTGTTGGCAAAGACGTGGAATGAGGAGAATGCCTATGCGGTGCAGGGAGGAGATTGCACTGGTTCAGCGTCTGATAAAAAACAACCTGGTAGGATTTTGTGAGTTGAATATTTGCACACTGTGTGGCCCAATGATTCCACTTCTGTGCATGCCTAACACAGAAACCCTTGCCGAGGTGGACCAGAAGCCACATAAAAGAAATATTCACGGAATCACTGTAATTGTAAAAACTCGGAAAGAACCCAAATAGTCATTGTTAGTTATTGTTTAACAGATAATTAAATTGTATATTCATATAATGGACTAACACACAGCGTAAAAATGAATTCAGTACAACTATAAGCTTCAACATGAGCGAATCTTAGACGATTGGGAAGGTAGGGAAACACGTCAGAGCATAATACATGTACTTTGTTACACTTAGAATGTTCAAACCCAAGCATAACTACATACGGGGTCCTTAGATACATGCTACAATTTAGAGCAGAGCAGAGAAACTCAGGAAAGGCATTACCTGGACTGGCAAATCAATATAGTATAAGATTGGCTAATATGTAGAAAATAGACATGCTTAAGATTGTCTTTGGTTCTATGAATAGGTGCGTCTTTGCACTAATTTGGGTCTTTAATGTCCCTCACAGGGTATTGACATGGGCGAGATGGAGGGTAGCGCCTGGTATGACGTGTAAGTCTCCAAATACGGGGTGCCCACACCCCTGAGCGTGCCTGCCTCCCCCCACACCGAGAGGCAGTCTTCCCCTCCCGTGAATCTGAGCCGGTTCCGGCACTTGCTTCGACTAACAGAATGCAATGAAGTAATGTTCTGGGACTTCTGATTCCAGGCCTGAAAGGACTGGCAGCTTCTGGTTCCCTTCACTGGGAGCCGTCACCAAGCTGTAAGGATGGCCAGGCCGGACCCCTGCTGGTTAGAGGCCCTGGGAGGGTGAGAGGGCGTCCTGGCTGCTCCGGCCCCAGCCAATCCCCCAGCTGAGCGCAGGGCAGGAGCAGTCACCCACGAGGAGCCGCTCGGGCATCACTGCACTCTGTCAACCCGCAGAAGCAGGAAAAATAAATGCTGTGTTGGGCCACTACATTTTGGGGTGGTTTGCTATGCAGTGACAGAGGGAGAGGAGCATACAGTTTCAGTGGTATTGACAGTCTTTTGTTTCTTAAGTTGGCTGGTGGGTTTCCAGATATACACTGGTCACTATGCTTCACAACTTACATACTAAAGACTTACATATAGTATTTTGTATTTAATAAATGCTTCACAATATAGAATACGGGGAAAGAAAAATCCCCAAACCACCAACTCTAACTTGCCGTGTAAAAATGTATCTCCCCAGTTTTCGTTTGTATTTTCTCTATCAATGCAGTTAATCATCTTTTCATGTGTAAGCAGCCATCCACTTGTTTCTCACACTGGGAACTGCCTGTTCATATTCTTTGCCCATTTTTCTGTTGAGTTGTTCATTTTTCATGATTCATAAGAACTTTATGTATTAAGGAAATAGCCCCTTTTATGCCCTGTGTTTGAAAAACATCTCGTTTGCCACTTAAAAACCTTTGACTTTGTGGCATATTTTGCTGTATATAAATTCTATCTTTTCATAGTCCAACTTATTCTTTGTGGGTATTATGCTTAGAAAGGCCTTTCCTCCTCCAAGATTATCTTTGAAACCATCTCTTCAAGTACTTTCATGGTTTCATTTCATAATTAAAACCTTTGATCTACCTGGAATTAATTTTGTTACAGGGAAGTAGGATCTAGGTTAATTTTTTGTCAAAATAGCTAGCCAGTTATTCCATCAAAAATAATCCACCTTCCCCCCCAACTGGAAATGCCCCTCTGATCATGTTAAACTTCTGAGTGTATTAAGTCGATGTCTCGGCCCTCCCTGTGTCACACTGACCTCTTCCTTTGCTACACCAAACTCCTTCATTATTGTAGTTTATAGCACTTAATATTGGGAGGGCTGTTCTTTACTCTCTTTGAGATTTACCTGGCTATTCTCCATGTTTACAATGTTCCCAAAGAACTGATTGTGTTAAGTTAAAAAATAAATCCGGTTGGCATTTTGTGACTGCATTGCATTTAGACCGGAGAATGTAAAAAAACCTGGCGTCTCTGCAAGATTGCCTTTGGATCCAAGAACAAGGAGTGTCTGCACCACGTCAGGTCTTTTACGTCCCTCACTGGGTACTGAGACTGAACAGCAACAAGCGTGCAGGTACCCATCCTGGTCCCTAGGGCAGAGTACAGGTCCTGCCTCTGGGGATAACTCAGGCAAGGCTCTGGCAAGCTTTCCCACCACTTCCAGAATTCTCTGGAGAATGTGACCCTGTGACTACCATGCCAAACCTCAGTTCAGATCCACTAAGAATGGTTACAAACTGCCCAGACATTGCAGAGAATACGACACCGTCCTTGTGTTTAAGGACATGCAGTAATGATGTCATCTGCCATGCAGAACATAACAGGGTGGTTTATAGGCACTTAAAAGCAGCACGACCTTGGGGGAGTTGGTAAGCTCTCCCAACCCTCTCCTCCCTCCTCACCTGGCTCAGAGTGGTCATGAGGACGGAAGGAGAGAATGAGGCAGACATCCTACGCTCTGTGGCTGAACCCAGGAATCCGCTCACCTCTGTGGTGGCCAGATGTCAAGGTCGGCTGGCTTCTCCCTGCCTGCTGCCCCCATGGTCCACCTCCACCACTCCCTGCTCCAGAGCACCCCCTGCCTAGCCGCACCCCAGCCTGCAGTCGCCTCCCCCACCGCACCCCGCCATGCGCAGGTCAAAGTCAGAAGTAAAAGATTTTTATTGTTCTACAGACACTTCTGAAAAGAGATCTAATTGAGAAAATATACAAAGTGTTTAAGAGTTTCGTCTCCAGAGAGCACCTAAGTCTGAGTGGAGGAGGGGTGGAAGCCCCCCTCTCTTCAAGGCTCAGGGCTGAGAACGGTTAGCATATCGAATAATCCGTAAAAACATGCAAAAGTGAGAAGCAAAAGGAAAGACGATGCACTCCCCCCAAGCAGAGGGGGATGGAATTTCAGAAGAGGCGGCGGCTGCGCAAGTACCAGGTGGCTCTCTCCCTCTCCTTCCACGTCATCTTTCTCGCAGCTCCACGCCGGGAGCGGCGATGAGCCCCACCCGCTCAGCAGAACCCACAGCCCATCTCCACGCGCTGCTCCTCCGCGGCACCCCCTGCTCTGCCTGGCTGTGGGAACCCCAATTGTGCTCCTGGGGGGCCAGGGCTGGGGGCCCCGGCTGCTTGCTTCTTTGGTTCCACTTGGAGAATGATTGTGCTTGACGGACTCTTCCCCACCCCCCAAACCCCAGGCTCCTGCTGGTGGGCTGAAGGCACTGACAGGTGTCCCGGGAGCCCCCAGGACAGCCACCTTCCCTTGTGCTCTGGTGGGTCCATCCCTGGCACACCCCCCCATCCTTAGGCCAAGCCCCACGCCTAGGAATAGGGACAGCGGAGGAAGTGTGCCATCTGAGGAAAAGCCTTCTGCGACTTTCCCAGGTGTGCGGGTGTCTCTGAAGCCCATGCTACCCCTCCCACTCCTCCCCCACCTTGCCCAGGCCCGGCTCATCCATCCAGTCCTGCCCCTGGGCTGCCCATACAGCTGTGGGCCTGGGCCCCAGAGGACCTGACCTCCAGGTGGTGGGGCACAGACACAATCTTGGGGCACCCCTCCTTCCCCCACACCAGGAATTCAGCAGAGATGGGGGCTGCGAGAGGTCACGGCTCTGGTACAGGGAAGCGGGCAGGGCTAGAAAGGTGAGACAGGTCACATCTACAGAAAGGCGTCCAAAGTACAAGCTAAGCAAGGGGAAGGAGGAGGGCCAGAAGAGGCCAGAAAGAAGGAAACAGGAAGAGGGCAGGGGCAGGGGGCCGGGGTGGGGGGGCCTCACACCACCCCGCAGATGAGCGTCTCCACAACAAAGGTGTTCTCAAAGTGGCGGATGGCGTTGCAATTCTTGGCCCCACGCTTGCTGATCCCTGGGAGGAAACAGAAACATCCCAGTGAGGCCTGTGGCCCAGCCCAGACTGGCTGGGCCACAAAGACCACCAGCCTCAGAGCCTGAGTGGGAGGAAGAGGCCCAGGAAGTGACACCCAGATTCACCCAAAGCAGCTTGGTGAAGTAGGGAGGGCTCAGAAGACACCTCCCCGCTGTGTGACCTCAGGGGTGTTAGTTAACCTCTCTGTGCCCCAGTTTCCTCATCTTTAAAAGGAGCAGCAAGAATGATGATGATGACTAATGATGATAACTTACACTCTTTTGGAAGGACATAGAGTGTACAGCAGTGCCCAGCACATAGTAAATGTTCAATTAACACTAGCTGTTACTGCTGCTGATATCTGAGCTCTCTGACAGCTGGGCCAGGCCCTGCTAGAGGATGGCTGTGGCTTGGGGCCCAGGGCAAGGGCCACAGGTGGGTGGAGCTGGCCACTCACGCCTCCGGGTAGCCCGGCGCCGCAGCCGGTAGGTGTCCTTCCCGTTGCACAGGTGGTAGATGAAGGAGCCCAGGGCCTCCTTGTCGTTGACATGCTCCGTGACCACCATCTCCTCCTGGATGATGTACGTCTGTGGGAGGTAGGTCCCCCTCTGCAAAGGGAGTAGCCGCAGCACCGGGTCAGCCCCCAGGGCTCTGCTCTGACCCCTCGCCTGAAATGCCCACCCACACACGCCCACCTCCTTCATCCAGAGGCCCCGCGGCCGGCCTTCTGATGTCCCCAGCCACTTCCTGCTTGTGCCCAATGCCTGTGACTATGCTGCCCGGTGTGTGCACAAGTCTGGCCTCCCACCCTGGGGGAAGTGCTCCTCACCAACCCAGGGCACAGCTTTGATCACTCAGGAAGCTGGTCTCAGGGCTCTCCACAAGTGGGAGAGAAGAAAGGGACAGGTGCTGGCTTTGAGGACACAGAAGCCAGGGACGGTGGAGTGAGACCCATCTGGGTGCAGGGCCCATCTGCTAGCAGCATCACTGGCTCCCCAAGCCCTGCCGCAGGAACCTCTGCACCCCAGGCCCAGCTGCCACAGGGAGGGACAAGACACTGCGGAGACCCCCTGCCCCCAGCCCTGCTCACCTTCACGTTCATGAGGAGCTCCCAGAAGTTACGTGGGGGCAGCACGATGGTTGTGTTGAGCTCGATGACGTAGCACTTGTCCAGGGAGATGTCGTGGTAGGCAGTCAGACCCTGAGCAGGACAGAGGGACCATGTCAGCCTTCCCCAGGCCCTGGGCCTTCAGGAGTGTGCACCCCAGATTCCTGAACACCTGGGGGGTGCTCCCTTTCCCTGCTCCTCTCCTAGCCTGTGTCTGTAGGAGGTGCCACATAATAGATGAAAACAGCCACTGTTTGTTCAATGCCTCTGTTGTTACAAAGCCTCTTTTCGTGGTTTACAGAGCTGAGGTTTGGGGACCATGGTAATGAACCTATCGTGCATTTTATCAAACCTGTGAGGTCCAGCCATCTCTGGGGACAGTCTGGACCTCAGCAAGAGATGCTGCATGCCAGGCCCTCTGCAGGCTTCTGCTGGGAGAACACCCAGGGCAGAGAGAGAAGAACTGATACTGAAAAACCCCTATGAAGCTTTAGTAAGTGCTGGGGAAAGAAGGCTGGGAGCCTGCATCTCACTGGCCTCTAAACAGTCACTGGGGACAGACTGTGAGGGACGGTTCCTCTGGGCTGGGGTTGGTTACTGACTGGGAAGGGCACAAGTAAACCTTCCAGAGTGCCAGCAACGTTCCAGATCTTGATCTGGCTGGTGTTACATGATGATATACCTCTGCAGAATCTGCTAAGCGGTACACTCCGTGGGTGTGTTACACCCCAACAAAATGTGAACAGAAACCAGGAACATGTGCCCTGCCACGATGGCCAGAGTCTGCAGTCGGTAAGTGGCCGATGGGAAAACCAGCCACGGCCAGTTCACACTTGACGAGAAGTGTGTCACCTGCACGATAAAACCCTGGTGAACCTGACCCCGACATCTATTATACAGTTTATGTTACGCAGCATGTACCCCGAGGATGCTCTTTTCACGCCTGCGCCCTTGTCCTGGGTCCCTGGGACACCCTGACACCGCCAGCCCCAGCCCCTGGCTCACCCGCTGGAAGTCGTGGATGATGTCTGCAGGGTCGCCACCGCCAAACTGGGGCACAGGGACGTTGATGCGCTCATAGTTCTCTTCGAGGTAGATCTTCACGTCCTCCTCCAGCTCCATCTGAGTCCGGACTTGGGAGGACAAGGAGTCCTCGTAGAGCACACCGCAGCGGAAGAAGTTATCTTGGGCCAGCTGAGCAAGGCAGGGAGGGCGGGAGGGAGAGAGAGAGACAGACACAGACAGACAGACTGGTCACGCAGCACACTCGGCACTGCCACTGCCATCTACCCGTCCACTTTATGCCCTGAGGCCTGGGGAAGGAGAAGGGTGGGGACCGTGAGACCCATTTCACAGATGGAGAAACTGAGAAATTCAGGGAGTCAGGTGAGAGCCTGGGGCTGCCAGGAAAGAGGTGAGCTGAGCCGTGGACAAGGCACTTCCCAGCCTCACCAACAGAAGGGCAGCTGGGCCTGCGCCTGCTGTCCTGGCCTGCAGACCTAGAGGGGCGCGAGAGGGAGGGGACGAGGTAGAGGTAGCACCATGAGATTCTGGTGCCACCACCACGGCCACTCCATACCCAGCCTCCCCAGACAACTCCCATCACTCTTCCTGGTCCCCTGGCCTGAGACACCTTGACAGACACTGTGTCCACTGCCCCCTGTGACGGGCCAGCCTCGTCATGACATCAGTAGGTTCAGTGTGCCCACTCTCACGTCCCCGGGGGCTCCTGTGGATCCATGCATGGGACAGGCTGGCCTGCGATCAGCCGAACTCTCCTGTTTGGTGCACGCTCTCCTGGGAGCAGGCTCCGGAGCGCTGCCCAGGGATGACAGCCGAAGGGAGGCCCCAGGGCTGGGCCCTGCTGTGACGGGACAGCTCAAACACTGTCCCAGGGCACAGACCCAGAGGCTGCTCTGAGGTGCGCCCTGGAGCGGGGTGAGCAATCCCAGGTGGGCAGGAGTGGGGCCCGGGAAGAGAGACCAGGAGGGGCCCGGAACACGCAGGCGGGGGGCCATGGCGGGGGCGGGCGGGGTGATGCTGAATGAAAGGGGCAGGCGAGGGAGCTGGGGTTTCGAGGGGAAAGCCCCAGGGAACACAAACTCTTCAGCAATTTCCATCGTGGAAAAACTGGGTGATAACAGAGTTCAGTGCTTAGGGATGGGAAGTCACTTGGGTCATAAATGACTCGAAAATCCCAGCCTTTTTGTCACCCTGAGATTCCTAGTTAGCTGCACTAGCGTTTATCCCTTTGAGCTACTTTTAATTTATCCACCTTCAGTTTCGAGAACTTGGTGACACTCCCTCCCTCCCAGGTCTGGCTGGGCCCAGCTTTGTGCCCACATACCCAGGTCGTGTGACCGTCTGTGGAGGCCAAGCCTTTCTTGGGTCCACCCTCCCGCCCCTTCAAAGTGGCAGTGGAGACTGTACACCCATCCCTCCCCCTTTCTTGTCTGGTAACCCAGATGTCCACGCATGGGTGGAATTAGAATTAGGTCAACCTTAAAGCGTGACCTGCAGGCACAGGGTCTGAGGTCTGAGGGGATCACAGAGTTCCAATTTCTGCTGGATCTGAGTTTCTGGTGTAATTCCCCAGGGTGACACTGAGGGAGGGACCCCAGTGCTGTCACCTGGATCTGTTTTGGGCTGTCCGGAACAAGGGGCTGAGGTTGGGGCGGGCCTGGGCCCAAGGAGGTCCCAGGCAGGAGGGAGGATGCTGGTCCCCAGGGCTTGCCCAGGGCTTCTGCTGCCCTACCCACCGCAGAACACGTAGGGACCCTTCTCTGAGGCCTTGCCTCCCGCCCGGGCCCTCACCTGAACAAAGAAGAAGTATCTGTAGATGTAGACCGAGGCGAACACCAGGCCCATGAGCAGTACGACCATGCCCATCGACAGGTAGCACACGCCGCCCACTGAGCTCCCCTTCTTGGAGCGGTGGCAGGGGGCCTGCTCCTCCTGTGGGCAACAGTGCGGGGTCAGCCGGGGGTCCCAGAGGGCGAGGAGGGAAGGAGACGTAGCCGGAAGGGGAGGGGGCCTCACCAGAGTCTCTGAGTCTGCTCCCAGCTAGAGAGGAACCAAGACCCACCTCAAAGCCAACTAAAGTGACCCGCTGGGATTAAGCAGGTACATTCTGACTTATCCGCACTCTCCGTCTCTTTCATCGTACCAGCTGCGACCACTGTATATTCTTTCAAAGCTAAGGTGGGGGATGCACTGGCATGGCCTTAGTGACTGCACAGACCTAGGAATCTATGAGAATTGGGGTGCACACCAGGCAGGCTGGGGCCACTGCCCCGGGCAGTGGAGAGCCATGGAAGGCTTTCGAACTGGGGAGGGACAAGATCCACTCAAAAGCTGGTGTGCATGGGACAGACTGGGCAGTGGGGGAGCGTGTGGAGGCTGCCGGACTGCGCCAAGGAGGCCGTGGCAGGGAGCAGCCGCTGACTTCTGGGACAGGGGCTCCGGGAGGCCCAGAGGATCTGGGCACAGGTGCTTGTCCCCGGCCGGGCAGCCCTGGGCCTGTGATCCATGCTGGCCCCATACAGGCCCTGGCCAGCAGTGTCAAGCAGGCTGTCAGAAGTGGAGTCTACAGGGCGAAGCATGGGAGCTTCTACAAGCCAGGGAGCTCCTGCCAGGAGGCAGATGTGGCCGTCAGGGAGGTCTGGCCAGGCGGCTCCTGGAAAAAACCTGCTCTGGGAGCTGGACTCGGGCTCAGGATCTCAGCTGCAGGGCTGCGAAGAAGCCAACCCGACACAAGTCCCGGCCATCCCAGCGGATGAAGTTGTGTGGGTATAAAACTCAGTGAAATGCCTTTACCTGGAGCCCTGGACTGAGAGCCAGCTGGGGGGCCGTGGTCATCTTTCTGTGTGTCCTCCCTGTCTCCCCCAGGCCCTCGTTCACCTTGGAGATGCTGCAAAAGCCCAGGGCCAGCATCTGCCTCCAGTGTCCACTGTTCAGTCCCCTCCAGTGTCCAGGTACGGCCAGGGGTGAGGTCAGCGGTCAGTCCCCATGGACCACCCCTCGACCTCAAGAAGCTGAGCCAGTGTGGGGGTAGTGGGGGCGCCAGCACAGGAGCCCCTTCTGGCTCTGCCATTAACTGCCTGCTTACTACTCTCTGGGCCTCAGTTTCCCCATCTTTAAAATGAGGTCAGACTCAGACCTTTCAGGTGCGCTCCAGCCCGTCATTCTGGGTTGTGCCATGTTTCCTTTCTCCCTTCACCCTGCAGGGGGAGGTGGGAGGGTGGGGACACAGTCGGTCACAGCTCAGGGTCTTGCCCTGGTGGGGTGGGGCCTGCTATGCTCAGCGGGTCCCTTCTCCCCTCCTTCCTGCCTGGGAGCACCGGGTCAGGGGTGGGCCTTGGGGAGGGGAGGTGAGCCCCATCAGAGGGTCTGATCCCTCCCTGCTTGGCACTCTCCCCAGCCCCCAGCCCCAGGGAAAGGACAGAAAACAGAATGTGCCCTCCCCCTCACTGGGTACATGCATGAGCAGACCAGCTGGCCCCAGCATCTGCACCATAGGATGGAGCTCCGGCCCCTCCTACAGCCCCACACCCTGGTCTGTCCCCCAGGAAGCCCACCTGGCAGGTGTGGGAGGTCACACCACTGCCCCTCACTGCCTGGTCCATCCGCAGGCCTGAGGTCCTGTGATCATGGGGACCACCCACCTGACTGGCACCTCCTCAGCATCCTGGGGACACTAACCAAGGTCATCAGTGAGTGGCACACATGGCTGGGGCCACCGGGCCCTCAGAGACAGCTGATGGCCAGAGGGGCTGGGGGACCACAATGGCTTTGACTTTCCAATGGGCTCCCAGGGGCAGGATGATATGTGGTGACACCATAGCCGAGTTCTGCCAGCGACTCACAGGGAACGACCCACCCTGGGGCCCCTGCCAACGAGGCAGCCAGGGAAAGTGGCGGCCTCTCTGCCCCTCCGGCAGTCATGGTGGGTTGTAAGGAAAGGTGGCTGACCCCGAGACAGGCCAGGCTGCCCACACCAGCCTGGAATCCTCCCCTGGGGACACAACACACACCAGGGCCCAGACTGTTTAGGGCCCAGGGGGGCTGCCCACTGGTGCCCCTGCACGATCTTCCTCCTCAGGTCTCCCGGTAAAATGTGAACATTCGCTCCCGGACAGGGGTTTTGCTGGGATTAAAAGAGACAGAGAAGCTGAAAGCCCTTTGTAAAGGATAAAGTGCTAGATAAAAATAGCAGATCTTTATCAGCCGAGCTTTTCCTTTTTAGAGCTGCCACCGGGCAAGCTGTCGAGGCTGCACTGCGGCCATGCTTTTGCTCCTGCATTCTGGAAAACCAGAGAAAGCTAGCTTGTGAGAATTGCTAAAAAACAGAAAGACAGAAAAGAAAAAAGTCAATGTACCACATGGAAGAGCCCAAGGACCTGTCCCACAAATCAAATTCACTGACCACCAGCTTACAGCGGCCTTGCCGCCGGGTGCGGAGCTCTGGCTGGGTCAGGTGTCTCCCTGTGCTGGGGGAGGGCCTGGGGAAAAGGCCCCACAGAGGGAGGGTGGAGAGGAGGTCAGAGAGGATAGGGAGGGAGGAAGGGGAATTCGGCAACCCCAGCTAAAGGGATTGGTGGCCAGGACCCCCCACTGCGAAGGCTGGGGCTCCCACCTTACCTCCACTGGTGGTGGAGACTCCCTCTCGTGGCTGGGATTGACAAACGGCTCTCACTCATCCCCACTGACACTCGCTGGCACACATCCAGGGCTCAGCCACCCTGCCACCCACCCGACACCTCTCCGGCCTGTGGGCCCAAACCCCCAGAAGCATCACGACTGAACAGCAGGCCTGGAAGTGAATGTAGGAGCAGAGGCTGCTGGGAGGAAACCAGGATGTCCCTGCTCAGAGACAAAAGGCACTTCCAACCTAAAGCCCCACACCGGGGGACAGCCTGAATCCTGCCCCAGTGCTGCCTTTGCCTACTGGGCCCAACACCACACAATCAAGACAAGGCTCAAATTCCAGAGCCCTGGAACTGTTGTTGTCTTCCTTGGCCCTCGAGGCAGCCTGTGACCTCAGGGTTGTCACATCTGTTGGCGGATGGTGGGGCATCAGGCAGCCCAGGCCAGACCCTTGCCCTTTGGGATCTCTGGCCAAGTGGCCCGCCTTCCTGAGACAGCCCCCCAGCTGCTTCAGCTGTCATGCTGGAGACCCAGAAAAATGCTGCTCCCCGCACAGAGCAGTTACTGACAGCAGGCATTGGGGAGGGGGGGCTCCCATTTAGAACATAGAAAAATATTGCATGTTTCCAAGGCAACAGGGCCCTCTGAGCAAAGTGCCTCCTTGTGCACTGGTGTGGGACATGTGAGCCAGACATCCAGGGACAGAGAGGGGCCAGGGCCTCCGCCTGCCGGCTACATCGAGGCCCACAGTGGTGCTCATTAAATGATTTAGCAAGGCCAGGGCCAAAACAGTCAGGCAGAAACCAGCCAACTGCAGCATTAGCTCGCAGACCCTCACGGCTTGAGGGGAAAGCTCCCCAGCTCCAGTCCCTCAGTAATGACGTCCAAATGGACTGCAAGCGGATTAACTAGGATTGCAGATTGCAGGCTGTTTGGAGGAGGCCAGCAGCCAGAACTGCACTCCCCACAGGCCCAGGAGGAGGGCTGGGGGGATGGGGGTCTCGTCTCACCTCCCCCACGTCACTCATGCTTCTTAGCAGCTCTCTTTCCCAGGCCCCAGACGGTAGAGGCACTGGGCCCGTGGTGTGTGCAGGACAGACACACACAGAGGCCAAGCCGGGGTGAGAGGAGTGGGCAAATGCCACTGTCCACTTGAGCACGCAGAGCCCAGTGGTCCCGGAGTACAGCCATCACCCGGGCACAAGCCAACAGGGTCAGGGGAACCCCACTGCCCTGTCCTCCCCTCTGGACTGTGGCCAGGCAGCATTTGTGCAGAGAGCACATGGCCTGGCTGGGCCAGGCGGATTTTCTTCTCTCCCGTCAAGGCGTCTCCAGGGAACAAAGGCTCAGAAGGTCGTGCTGCTGGAAGAGCTCTCACTCTCATGGAGAGAAGGAACTTGGAGAGGTTGGGGGTGGGGATAAGGGGGTAGCAGGGCTGTGCTTCTGTGATTTTACCGTAAACATTTTTTTCTCACTAAGAAACTCATCCTCCTGGCAGTCTGCTGACATGACAGCCCTGAAACACACAAGGACAGCGGAAGGAAGAGAACAGAAAAGAGGGAGTGAGAGGGAAGCGGGGGGAAAGCAGAAAAACCACTGCGGTGCCTGCCCAGACACAGAAGTCCTCTGGCCAGGCCAGGAGTGGATGGCAGCCCTAAAAGTCCCCAGTGCACACGGAGCAGGGCCACCTCTTTTCAAGGTCCTTGCGGCCTGGAGCTCCCAGCCAATGGGCATGGAGCACTGGGGCAGAAGGACCAAGCCCTCCTGGCTGGAGACCCTCCTCCAACACCCAACGCTCCAGGAGACTCAGCTCCTCCTGCCAAGGGCCTTCAGCCCAGGACACAAGCCACCAGCCGAAAGTGAAATCTGATTCCCAGGTATGCAGGCTTGGGGGAGGGGGGACACAGTCATTAATCAAAGGCAAATGTCAAGGAGAAAATTACAGAGGTAAGAAGATGACTGTATTTAACATATTTCTCTCCCCTTGCAGCCCCCAGCCTGTGAGTCTGTACATGCCTACACCTGCGTGCATGCGTGTGTGTGTGTGTGTGTGTGTGTCTGTGTGTCTGTGTGTGTACATGCAGGCACAGCGGGGCGTGGGGAGGCAGGGCCCACAGTGGGCCTCCAAAGGGGAAGGGGGTCCAGCCGGCACTGCTGGGGGTGTTTCATGCCCAGCCCACTTCCCAAGCCGGCTGGGCACCAGCCCCCAGGGGCGCAGGCTCACTGCCTCAGAGTCAAAGCACCACCAGAGGCCGGGCAGCTGCAGGCCCAGCTGGGCCCCCGCGTCCCACCCCTCCCCCAGCCCACCGAGCCACTTCCTTCCAGCCTCAGGTCTGGGGACAAAATCCTCCTTGTGTTTCAGTTTCTGCTCAGAAGCAGGGGGAGTCCTGGCTGCTGCAAGGGTGCTGCTGCAGCCTGCCGCTGCCCTGGGCCTGGACACACGTCGTGGGTCAACTGCTGCCCCAGAGCACGCACATACCCCTCTGTGCATCAACTGCTCCTTCCAGGGATCATGGTTGCAATCTTGTTTTTGAGTCCAGTGCAGATACCAAGGAGGCTTGCGGGGTCACCCCCAGACAGAAGAGACCTAACAAGCTTTCCTGGAGAAAGCAGCTCGCAGGCCTCCCTGTCTGCCTGCCCTTAGAGCGGCTGCTGCTCTCCCAGCTTAGACAGGAGAGGAAGGCTGGCTCCATGCCAGGAACTGGGGGAAGGGGAGACGTTTGCGTTGGCCAGGTGGGGCAACAGGAGGCTGGCAGAAGTGAACGATCTTCCAAGGCTCCAAATCTAGCAGGCGAGAGGCAGAGCCAACACGCATCGTCTTCGCACCAGCTCAGGGCCGCAGGAAGCTCTGAGTTTACCAACACGCCACTCTGTTGTAAAGGTGCGGGGATCTTAATTCCTGCTCCTGCTTGTGCCCCTCTTGCCAATTAGGGGGGGGTTACCCTGCCCAACTAACCAGGCCTGGGGGAGGAGGCACTCAGCAGGCTCAAGGCCACTACAAACACTGCGCAGGAAGATGTTGATATTTCCATTTCATGCTGGGTGAGGGGGGACAGAGGATGCTGGATTTGAGCCCCATTAAAAAGCCAAAAGCTGGACGTCAGTAACTGACGGGGCTATGCCGGGCGCCCCTGTCCTGCCCACTGCCATCAGCAGGCTGCTGCCAGAGAGAATGTGCCGCTCCTGCAAAATTTGGTCGACCTTCTGATGAAGTTGCAATGATATCCTCCCACTGTCTGGCCTGGCCCTCCCTCCTCCCCAAATCTCTCTGAGGAGAAGCAGCTAGAAGCAATGGCCAAGAACGCTGCCGCCTCCTCCCCAGGCCCAGTGGAGGCAGTTTCCCTTTGGTAAAGGAGGCTTGAAGAGCTGTTTGCTAACTAGACCACTGTCTTCAAATGTCAACCATCTGTGCTTCAGGTGAAGGTAGAGCTGCTGGGGGGGGGGGTGCACAGCAAGCCCCCAATCCGGCCTGGGTGCTCGCTACAGTGACCACTGTGCAAGGGCAGGGGAGCTCACCCAGGCCCTGCATTCCTCACTCAGGGTCTCTGCCCAGCTGACACTCATCTCTGAGGCCTCTCTCCCCCGCCCCCTCTTCTAGGGCCCAGATCATCTGCAGGTCTCTTGGCAAGACTTGGGGAGGGCGCTAGGCGAAGAGGAAGACTCTTCAGAAGCTTGTAGCGGGAGGAGTCAGGGGAGTGGATAAAGACTTTCTTAGTCCAGCCTCGATGGAGTGGGGCGGGAGGTGGTGCGCCCCAAGACTGCCGGGGACAGCGCCCCGCGTAGACACCTTTGCCAGGACACAATAAAGCGTGATTGGACCAGTTCCCTCCCCTTCCTCTCCTCTCTGCCACCACGCGTCCTGCCCCCTGCCGGCCCTTCCCCGACACACTCCACGCAGCTCAGACGGTTTTCCACGGCGGAAATGCCTCCTCTCCCCCTGCCAGAGGAGGAGGACGCCGGAGGGGGCGGGGCGCTCAGAGCCCCGAGAGACCCGGGATGCGGAGGGCACTGGGGCAGCGGGGAGCCCTCTCTCTCCGCGGTGTGGGGAGCGGGGGACAGCCCAGCAGGAGCGCCGGAGTGGAGGGAGGACAGGGAGCAGGGAGGCCCAGACGGCAGGGGGTGGGATGGGATGTGGGCACCCGGGCTTGGACCCCCGACCCCCAGAAGCACCCGGCCGGTTGGGGATGATTTCCATTTCATCACTTTCTGGTCCGCCAATTCCAGTGCTGGCCAGTAGCACATCCTCGGCCCCCCGCCCCCGCCTCGCAGTCCCCCATTTGGGACGAAATCAATGCCCCCCCCCTCCGTTGGTACCAGAGCCCCCACCACCACCAATTCTCCAGCCAATCAGGTCCCACCGCCCTATTTTGGGGAAACTACGTCTAACCCTATTCCCATCCCCCACCTGGGGACTCGACTCGCGGCTTTTCCCCCTGGATTGGAACGAGACGCATACCCCCCACCAACATTCCCCGAACTTCTTCGGACTACCCGCACCCCCCATTTTGGGGCCAGGCGCCTAGGGTCTCCTCCACTTTTGGAAGAGACCTTGAGCACCTCCCCACCTGAGGACCAGCGACGGCCCCCCTCCCACTCTTCGGACTTCTGCTTTCGGCCGCCGCTTTAGGACAGGACCCAAGCCCCCTCCCCACTTTGGGGTGGACGACCCATTCGAGGCTTCCCACCCCGTCTCCGCTCCAGGCTCCGGGAGGGTCCCGACGCGCCTCGGTGCCTCGCCCCTCCGCCCCTCTCACCCTAGCCGGCGTCAGCAGGATCTCGGCGGCCGGGGCAGGCGCCGGGCCCGCGGCCGACGCCGAAGCCTTGTCGGCCTTGTCGCCCTTGATGCCGGCCACGGCGGGCTGGAAACTGATCTTCACCATGGCTGCGCCTGCCCGCGCGTCAGCCCCGCAGCCTCTGCCGGTGCAGCCTCCGCCGGTGCAGCCGCTCTCCGTGCAACCGCCGCTCCAAGCGCTGCAGGCACCGGAAGTTTGGACCCTGCTGGCGTCCCTCTCTCTAACCCCACCCCCAGCCCTCCCCGCCCCCGCCCCCCGCGGGAGGCCTCGGCGCCCGCCGCGCCTGCGCCCCCTTCCCGCCCGCGGGCCGCACTGACCCCTGCCGGGCGCGCGGCTCGGGCCTGGGGCACGGTCGGGGTTCCTCGGCCACTCGCTCTTACTCGCTCACTCATTCATTCATTCAGTCGTCACGCGTGGACTCGGTTCTCTCGTAGCCTTCTCCCTTCCCGCTCCCGCTCCCCGACCAGCACCCCCCACACAAGTCTTTGTTAATGCGGCGTCTGTTGGGCAAACGCAGCTGCTGGACGAATTCCCCGTCTCCCCCGGCCCTACTTCACACCCTCCGCTTTGGAGACGCCTCCACCGTCCCTGCTCCCACGGCCCCTCATCGGACCTGTCCTTGGCGTGGCAGGAGGCGTCAGGGCTTGGTGCCTAACTCCTCGCCTCCGTCCGGGTCCTGCATTCTGAATCCCTCCACGCTTCTTCCTTTCTGCATCCCTGTAAACCCGTCCTGGGGGCCTGGCGTGCACGCTGCAGCTGCTAGGAGTAACGACGGCAGTCCTTGGTCTTTGACTCCTTTATGTTGCTGCGGCCTCAATTACTGAGTGACTGGCCCTGTCCAAGGAGGTCCTGGCGAGGGGCCAGGGTCGGGCCGCCGCGGGAGCCATGCGCGCGGGCTGGGCAGGGGGCCAGCGGGGCACAGAGCAGAGCGGCCTCAGAGCCTGAGCCGCCTGGGGCCAGGTGGGAAGGTTCCCAGGGCGGGTGTCAAAGGCTTGGGTTCCAGTAAAGACTCTGCCCCTGCAAAGCGTTACTGGTATTGGGGAGCAGCAGGGGCTTCTGTTGCTGGGGCGTCTCTTGGCACTAAGTCCCTGGATCTTTCTTCACTGTCCCTGGTCCAGGCCCGGCTGGGGACAGTACCCAGCAAACCAACACACAACATTGTGCTGAACGCCCAGCTTTGTTTCTGCTGCTGGGATGACGGTGGAGCTCAGAGTGTCGCCTAACTTGTTGAGGACAGTCCACGATCCTCTACCGACTTCTCCTCTTACCTGTCAGGTCCTGTGCAGCTGCCTTGGGCCCTTGGTGTCATATCCCAGACCCATACATCTTGGCTTAGATCTGGTATGAACCTAGCAGCCTTGAGGACAAGTGGAGAAGAAAGAAAGTCTGACGTCGCTAAGGCCACCAGCCTGGGGATCTGTGGGAGGGAACGGGGCGATGTAAGAAGATGGTTGGAGGAGATGAGGAGGAATTTGGTTTGGACCAGAGCCAGAGAGGAAAGTGGTGTGGACTACTGTTCATCAGCTACTCGAACTCCTTTGTGAATCTTGGTGTTTGGAGGGGCCAAGCTCCCAGGCCTTGGTTGGCACTGCACCAACGAACATTCATTCCCCCACTCTGTAAGTGCTTTCCAGGCACCCCAGTGTGCCAAGCATCGTGTGAAGCTCTGTGGCAGGAAACTGAAATGCCCAAGACCCAGCTCAGCAGCCAAGGATCTGATCATGTTAAACCGTCCATCCGCTGCATTCTTTCACGTGCATTAAATCATTTAATGTTCATCACAGCCCATGTGACCTACACATTAACCTCGTGTTAATGACAGAAAGTAGCATGACTAAACCCTGGGTTGCAGAGCTGGTATGGCGCAGATCTCTGGTCAGCAAGACAGGACCATTTGGCTGAAGCGTCTGCTGTCTGGGCTTGGCAGGTGTGTGTCCCATGTCCTCTGGCAAGCCTGCCCTGACTGGCAGGGCAAAATCCTTTGCCCGTGCATCCTCAACTCTGTATACATCCTCCTCACGCCTCTCCTCACCCTTGACCACGGGCTCTGTGCCAGCCAAGTGCTGGGCACACAACCTACTGCAGTGATTCCTAAACTTTTTGGTTTCAGGACCCCAAAGTTTAGGTGGGGTGTGTCTATCTATATTTACCATATTATAACTTAAAACTCAGAAACTTTTAAGACACAAGAATACACATATTCCATTGGCTGTTAAAGCAGTGTGATCACACATGTAGCCTCTGGAAAATTCCATGAGAGAATGAGAGTGAAAAAGGAAAATGTCTTAGTATTATTGCAAAAATAGTTTTCACCGTGTAGAGCCCCTGAATGGGTCTCGGGGACCAGGAGGGCCTTCAGATCAGACTTTCGGAACTTCTGCTCTGGTGGATGCTCAAGAATCTGTATCCCATGGATTCTAAGAGACACATTTCTTCATATTTTAACATCTCTAATATGAAGATGTCTTTTATAATTGTCAGTGATTTTTCTTTCTTAATGTACCTAAAATAATGCGTCTTACGAGCAACAGCGTCTTAGGTTTGGTGGAATGCAGTACAGCCAGTCAGTAATCCAAGGGGCGCCAGGAGACTGCGTGAGGTTCATGGTCGCACACCGAGTTTTGTGGACTCGGGGTAGGATAGCGGGGTGAACGGGGTGCAGCTGAGGCTCCATGGTGGACAGAAGATTGGGTGGGCAGTGGAAAGACAGACAGGGCTGTCCACTTTGTCTTTCTGTTCTCTCATCTCACCCACGTGACAATTCTCCTGCCCGCCTCTCATTCCAAGGCCTGCTCAGGAGCTGCTAAGTTCTGTTGGGGAAAATGACACCATCACACCCTTTGGAACCACCACGCTCCCTCCTCTTGGGGGCCTTCAGTGCTGCTCAGCACCCGGTGGCAGCCCTGTGGAGGTGCCTGGAGCTGCAGGGGGATGGGTGTCCCCTTATTGCCTGATCTGAGCAGACCACTCACATGACTGACTCCCCATAGAATTCCTGGTCAAAGGTTTTCCAAAGTAATGATGCTATTTTACATTCCCGGCAGCAATGCATGAGAGTTCTAGTTGCCCCACAATCTCACCAACGTTTGGTGCTATTTTAATTTTAGCAATTCTGGTTGATAGAATATGTTGTATTTTACTGTGGCTTAAATTCACACTTCCCTGATGACTAATGATGTTGAGCACCTTTTTATCTGGTACTGGCCATTTATAAACGTTCTTTTGTGAAGTGTCCGTTCAAGTCTTTTGTTTTTCAGTCCTCAGCTTACTTGGGATGGCTTTGAGCTTCTCAGCTGAACCCTCGGCCCCATCAACCCAGCGGTGCCTGGCTGCAGTGGGCTGAAATATAATTAAGAAATTATATTGTCTTTTAATTACTAATTTGTAGGGGTTCATTGTATATTCTGGATACAAGTCCTTTGTTACATATATTTATTATGAATATTTCTTCCCAGGCTGTAGCTAACATTTTCATTTAACTTTGATGAAGTTCAATGTATTAATTTTTGTATTTTTTATTTTAGTGTTCTGTCTAAAAAATCTTTAGATACTCGCCCCCAAATTGTGAAGATAGTCTCATATGTTTCTTCTAGAAGCTTTGTAGTTTTAGGTTTTACATACAGGTCTATGACCCATTTTTTTTTTTTTTTTGAGACCGAGTCTCACTCTGTCGCCTTGGGTAGAATGCAGTGGTGCCATTGTAGCTCACTGCCGTCTCAAACTCTTGGGCTCAAGTGATCCTCCTGCCTCAGCCTTCCAAGCAGCTGGGACTACAGGTGCTCACCACCACGTCTGGCTCATTTTTCTGTTTTTAGTAGAGATGGGGGTCTTGCTCTTGCTCAGGCTGGTCTCGAACTCTTGAGCTCAAGCAATCCTTCTATCTTAGCCTCCCAGAGTGCTAGGATTACAGGCGTGAGCCACTGCACCCGGCCTGACCCATTTTTAATTGATATTTTATGTATGGTGTGAGGTAGGGTTTGAGGTTTGTTTCTTTTTCATTTGGTTATTCAGGTGTTCCAGCATTATTTGTTTAAGAAACTTTTCTTTTCTCATTGAACTGTTTTGGCATCTTTGTCAAAAGTCAGTTGACAATTTATATGTGGATTTATTTCTGGACTCTGTTATGTTACATTGATTTTTTTTCTATCCTTATGTCAATTATACACTATATTGATTGCTATAGATTTCTGGTAAGTATTAAAATGCAGTAGTATGAGTCCTCTGATTTCTTCTTCTTTTTAAAGATTGCTTTTGTTTTCTAGATCCTTTGAATATCCAAATATCCTTTAGAATTGGCTTGTCAATTTCTGTAAAAGAAAAACTGTTGGCTATTAATTGGGCTTGTGTTAAATCTGTAGATCAATTTGGAGGAAAATGATGTCTTAACAATATTGGTATTGAATCCATGAATATGGTGTATTTCTCTGTTTGTTTAGGTCTTCTTTAATTCCTCTCACTAATGTTTTGTAGTCTTCAGTGTAGAGATCTTGCACATCTTTTGTTGAATTTATGCCTATTTTGTGTTTTTTTGTGTTATTGTACTTATTTGTTTATTTCATCTCCAATTCTTCACTGATAATATACAGACATAAATGGATTTTGGAAAATTGACCTTGTATCCTATAACCTTAATATATTAATTTATTAGTCATTGTATTTTTTATAGGTGCCCCGGGTTTTCTATATACGTAATCATTTCATCTGAGAACAAAGACAATTTTATTTCTTTTTCTCAATCTTTATGCCTTTTAGTTTGTTTTTTTGGCTTACTGGTTAGGGCTCCAGTACAACGCTGAATAGAATGGTGAGGATAGACATCCTTGCGTTGTTTCTGATCCTAGAGAGAAGGATGAATGTAATTTAGTGATAGGTTTTCCATAGGTGCCTTTTGTATTAGTTTTCTAGGGCTAATGTGACAATGTAACCAGAACATCAATAGACCCACCAATGGCACCTCATTCCACTTCTTGTCACCATTTCTGACCCAAGAATAACCACTGTCCTCATTTCTTGCACATCTAGGAGCTTTGCCTAATTTTGAAAACGTCATACCCATGGATCTCATGATATGTGCTCTTTTCTGTCCAGCATCCTTAACACCGTGATGGGGAGAATCGGCCACGTGGTGTATATTGGCAGTTGGTTCATCCTCATGATTGTATGGTGTTCTGTCATGTACCACAGTTTGTTCATCCATTTCCCTGTTGGTAGATA